CAATTATGCACATGAAACAGTGAGGCACAGTTGTTGGGCAGCACAAAAGTGCAATCTGATATTCCTGTGAGGGACTGTTGGTGCAGTGCACAACACAACACAGCTGTGCTTCTCTGAGGTGTTTACCAAATGACCCAAAGAGTGACTTCAGCATAGAAGGGTTAAAACAGACCTCTGTGCTGATGATGCCATGGTTTAATTACATGTGTGCATTCCTATGGTACCCAGTGGGCCACAGGGCTCCCACTGGCTCCGTAGGAAAGTGTATGTGTCAATACAAAGGAGCGTCATTACTTCAGAGGCCTACCGGGATTATATTGCAGAATACAGAGATTATTTCTGTGAGAGGTCAAACACAGTCAATATATCAGTTCAAGCGTTCACCTTTTCTGGGCTTCTTGCTTACTGCAACATGTCTCACAATAGTATTTACATTCATGGCACAGTGTCTCCGTGTTACTAAACCCTCTGTGAAAGAAATAAAAACAAATAGACATCCAGTCTAAATTAGCAGCAGGAAGATGACTGACAAAAAAACGGACTTCAACGGCAGTTCAGCAAAGGATGGGGGAAGGGTATCCTAAGGTGAAAGGTGAACTGAGCAGGTAAAACCCCCGAGCATTATGAGTTGTACAGGTTTGGAGAATTGTACGGGTGGTTGGGTGTGGCAGAGCGGCATGCACACGTAGATGGACTGGGTGAAAGATGGCTGACAAACTCCTAGAGGGGCTGGAACCCAACTACCACAGTGGGCCCTGCACAACATCCATAGCTTGACTGTGCATTTACAGAGGCAAAATCAGTTATCTGCACTCCTTGCCAAACGCATTCAAACAAGAGTCAAAATGCAGCGTGTTGGCCAAATTTAACTTGGCACCCTGTTTTTGGTTAACATTTACACACACATACTGGAGGTGATACTCACTTGAGACAGTGGGTGATAGATGTGTTCTGCTCCACGTCTACTGACAAGTCCAAGAAATCCTCATCCTTACTGCTTACCTGCACCAACCAACAAACAAAATAAGCAAATTCCCCAAAACAAATAACAGGTGCATCTCTTTAGCCCTAATTCTAATTAGAACTTCTATGTACCATCATCCTTCCCCCACAACTGTGCTGAGGTTCAAGACAATAAATGGAGGGAACACAAAGCAAACAATTTGATTATTTCATGCTGAGTAAACCTACCAGTGTATTAGGTCATGACAAGCAAGGTTACCATCCCATGTGGAGTGTTCGCGCATGCAGATTGCCATATTTACCCAGAGTGCTCTGAACACATGATTACAGGACTTGGGAAAGACACTGGGTTAGTCATTAAAGGTCCAAGCATGTAGCTATGCTTACCCCTTCACAGCAAAGACACCTGGTCTCGTTGGTCAGCGTCCCCTGAAAGATTTCGTGGATCCAGGTCGGTTCGTTCTTCTGGTGGTGATGGTCATTATTGTTGCTCAGTGAACCGTTGGGGGTACTGACCTTGCTGTTGGGTTTGCCGACTTGCTTGTCAGCCGCCCGCTCAGCTACAGAAAGGGTGGAAAAACGGAAAAAGAAATGGGATTGCTGATTATGAAGGGGGATGCTCAGAAAAGGCAAAAGGACATAGTGTACATTATAATTTGAAATGTGACAGAAAGTCAAATGCTCCAACAAAGCAGTAACATGAAATATGCAAGAGTGAAGTTGGGCTACTGAAAAATGATCATGCTACCTTGGAAATGTTTTGGGGAATTCTATATTGCTAAAATCCCCTCATTATGTGGCTACTGTTTCCATTTGACAGACAGACAAGTAACGAGTTAACTTCTTGGATGGTAAAAGTAAAGTTGTTGCAAGTTAAGGAGCAATAGTCTATCAACATTTCACAGATCTAAACTCCTTTCCAAATCTTTGTTTGTTTACAAGTGACAAAGTATTACCAAAAAAAAAAAGTCTTACAAAAATGTGTGAAGTTCTGAAAAGTTTCAACCCTTTTTGTGCGCACCTGAAATCATCTTACATATTTGAAAGTTGCCAGGTCCTCTAAACAGAAAGGTACTGCTCTACTAGAAAAACTTTTGTTTAGTCTTAAACCAAATCTTCAAGAACTAAAAGTGCCATAGATATGACAATAAAACTACATACCAGACAAAATGTCAGCTATTGTGTTGAGTAGATAGATAAGAAACTCATGCGCATCCTGTTGCATGTAGTTGTCAAACACCTCTGGGCCACAGAAGAAAACAGAAATGACATGCAATCAATCAATGTCCGTCAATTTGTGTGCAATCAATCAATGTCCGTCAATTTGTGTGCAATCAATCAATGTCCGTCAATTTGTGTGCACTGGTGAAGGACCTGTCATAAATTGCACCTTGGTCATTTTTCAACAATTTCCTCTCTGAATAAAAAAGGCTGTTGAAGGTGATGGCTGAGTTCATCCACCTTCACAACAAACGGTTGGTTGAATAAAACAGTTTAACCAAAACAGCATTTGACAGGTGGCATCTGGTCCTAAGCAGGCTTTCCATAAGCAACGGCTCCTTTGAATTTCTGCCAGGCATCCTCATGAAAAGTACACACACTTTGTTTTTACATTCTTTCTGTGATCATGAAAATATCTCACAGAGACATCGTTTGAAATCCCACAAAAATTCTTTTTAAACTGGAAATGTTTGTTCTTCATTTTAGACTAATCTTATAAGATTTATTTTGATCTCAATTTCTTAATTTTTTCATTTTTGGAGATTATATGAACATGCCAGGTTTTAATTCTGTATTTGCCACACAATACACCATGAGGGGGCTGCCATAAACTTGACATGAACAGTATTGGTATGTCTACATGTAGTTGGATAGATGAAAGTTACAAATGCAATAAATTGATAACAATATCCCAAGCGTGATACCATTTTCCTTGCGCAGCCTCCCGATGAATTTCTTGGGCGCGATGACACCGGTCTTCTTTTTCTGTGTGGTGATGTTGTTGAAGAGGTCACTGAGGCAGGTCAGAAGGTTCTCCTTCTTCTTAGGCTGGGCGCGGTAGCTCAGGACTTTGTCCCTGAATGGCTTGCAGAAGTACAGAGCCTGGAGGACTGAGTTGCAGTAGCAGGTGTTCCCAAACTGTGATGGCAAAGCAAAGAATTCCAAAGCTTTTATTATACCTTGGGGGGGACTGGTACCTAATGAATTTGCCACAAAAAACAAACTATTTCTTAAAAATAGCACTCCCAAACTGACTACGATGTGTGAAAAATTATGTCAAAATTTAACTTTATTAAACTGTTCCTCTATCTAAGTGATCCAGTCTGACAAAGTGGCTCCAGGAATTAGCTAGTGGCTTCCACAGGCGCATTTTGTGGATGTAGCCAAAGGACTTTCTCTCATTGCTGAAGGTTGCATGTGAAGTGGTACATGAAATCCCCAATGCATGCATCCAAGTCGAGCTTCATCAGAGAATAATCAACTGTACACAACATTAGCCCTAACCCTCCAGGTGTTGTATACTAGTAAAGAACACAGAATCTTGCTGCATTTGACATGATTCGAGCTAGATTTCCCAGGTGTTCTCATGAGGAACTTTCCTAAATCCTAAAAAATGATCATCCACAGTACATCCACAGGATATGAGAAAGTTAAAGTAAGTTTACATTATAAATACAAAACTGCAGAACTACACACTACATCTTTTGGTCAACATTCACGGATCGTCTTCAAACTAAATTATGTGGGCATATGCTTACAATCTGATAATGATGTTCACATTGAAATATGTGACCATACCTAACAAAATGAGAAAAGCGTCGCCATGGTCACTTTTGAGTTCAAGGCCTTTAAAATAATCCTCCACAATGCAAATTAACAGGAATTCTAAATATTTGTTGGCCACATAATGTTAATTTTCACTTGGATGCCAAACTAAGTGACACACTAAACACAAGAGCTCCCTTTCTTCTTCAATGCAAACTAGAACAAACTTGCTATAAAAATAATGAGCCCAAGACTCACTTGTCATCTGGTCACACATCACGAATAATAGAATTAGAAATAGCTTTGATTAAAATGAAACAGACTTACATTGACTAATCCAAAGTAGTGTTCATTGGTGGGAAACTGGTCTGATCCGATCTCTTTCTCCAAGGCGGAGGCATTAGCTCCCTACAAGATGAAGGGGTCATGTTATGAGAGCATTTCCCAACAGGATTGATTGATCTTGCAAATTCATTTGAGTGATCAGTTTTACTGAAAAAAACAAAAAATGTGTTGAGATAGTTGAAGAAACAAGAAGATACATTTCAGGAACACAAATACATAACCATAACAAAGAGCAAATGCTTATCCCTAGGCCTATAGTAAATTTGTAAAACTAGAATCAACACTGTCACCCGTCACAGGGGCTGTGTGCCTGGTTTCGAATCAACTTGGACCCAAACCAACTCGTACCCATGCCAACTCGGACCCATGCCAACTCGGACCCACGACCAACTCGGACCCATGTCAACTCGGCCCCAATACTAACCCGGACCCACAACCAACTCGGACCCAACACTAACTCGGACCCA